TTTGTGAGATGATTGTTATGTTAGTTACTATGGTTGCATTCAATAATTGGTTGGAATTATAAGCTATGTTATGATCTATTTTTTATAGGTTCAGAAATATGGATAAAGACAATTACAAACCTATTCAAATCAGGTATAGTTCTTATTGAATTTGAACTTTTCTGTTTAAACTCTTCTATTACATTCCAAATCTTGATAAAATTTGTACTGTTTTAGGCTAACTACACATCCCATAATAAAGGTTGATGATTACATTCTACGTAAGATTACCGCCAAGAGAGCTAGAATGAAAAGATTTAGTGTTCTTAAAGCCAAACGTTCAAAACGAATCAGATTTTCCAAAGATCACCCTCAAGTTGACAGTACTATTCTGAACTACAAACCCGTTGAAACAAACGCCACAACCCCCAATATTAGATTACCATTATCTGATGTTACTCCATCTTCTTCGAACAATCGACTAATCGACCAAATTGTTAGAGATGGTAAGAGAATTGATTCTATATTGCAAGGAACTTTACCATCACCGTCAATGCATACATATCGTACACCGCCAAAAGTATTCAATGTTCATAACTTGGGGACAAACCTTATGTCACGATTTTTGGAGCCTGGATCCATGCCACAAAAGGAGAATGTCTTTGTTGTAACCAATCACCGTAATCAAAAGTCGGATAACACTTTTATGTAAGTCTAATTCATATTTGCATCTTTAAAACTACTATGTTATTTTCTAATCAATTCCATTATACAGGAAAAATGCACCGTCCACATCACAACAAATCAAACATGGTCGAGGTCGTCCTAAAAAATCCCTTGGCGTCCCAGCTTTAGCGACCAATCTTATTTGCGATGAACAACATAAGACACGCCAAAGTCCATCATTTACTCTTGAGTACGATTTTGCAATTTAACAATTTCTCTATAATCTGTTCTAGCCAACTCATGAAATATTTTTTGTTTTACAACTATTGTAACAGAAAACGTAAGACTCCTTCACCATCCCATCAAGGACTTAGCATACACAGAGCTTCGATTTCCAACACAACATGTTCACAAACATGTAGTGTTGTCTTAATGCCACGCCGCAATGTAATAAAAATTCCGTCATTTCCATCCATGTAAGTGTTTCCATCATAGAGGATTATTAAGTTAGTCTCTATGTATTGTTATTCACTATATCATCCTTCTAATTACTTACATAACCTTTTATAAATAGCCCTCAAACTAATGGAGCAAGATCTATACCAATTAATGACAGCTACACAGAAACTGCAACAGTGGCAGCAAGTATGAGAAATACTTCTACTTTATTTACTCCGACGGCTAATTTTTATTTTGACAGTGATGATAATAGAAATGAATTCGACTATGATCCATTCACAGGTAGATCCAAAAACTTACAATTTATATTGTTTATTCTACAACTCTTAGATTTATATTTACTAAAATGATTTATTAATTCACAACTACTTTAACAAGTCAGTTGTAGCATATTTCTTAATGTAAGATCACAAGATTACTATACCATGACAAGTTATACATGCAGACCTGTACTGGTTTAGAAACATTCATATAAAGCACAAAAACAGTAAACAGTAGTCCAACCACTTCCCAGTTCAAATTGATAGCTATTATTATGCCTCAAGGCAGGTGCGCAAGACATAAATTAGGTTGAAAATCTATCCTACTTCAATTAAGCCATTGATATCAGTTTCAAATAGAATTTAATTCAGCCTAGCAAATGTAGTAAGATTTCAACTCAGATTCCTGAAATTTGGTGCTTTTAGACCTTGCAAAACATGCAAACTTTCAAGCCTGTAAAACTTTTAAACATGAATGCTGAGAGGAAAATAATAAAAATATCAACAAGCAGCTATATGAGTTATGGCACTGTGAAATTTTAGGCTAAGCTAGCACCAAATAATTCAATCTAGTTTACGTCCCTGCTCATATCCTTCTATTTACTAAAATTAGAAGGATAGGTGTGAAGAGATACACTACATTGAATATCCTCATATACCTTTTAAGATGAAATTGTTGTTAAATGTATATCTCATAATACCTGTTTATTCACATGTGTTTCTGTTCTTGGTATAATTAAAACATGCTTCTTCACATGCAATTCATGATATATTTAGTATGTTTACAACAACAATGCAATCTGATGAAGATGAAAGCCTTAATAATGAAAATGGTTTGCCACCTTTTTCAACAGCGAACCAACCAGACATTAACAATGAAGGTAACCAACATAAATCTTGAGTAAATACAAAATGTTACTTTTACTATTATTCTACTCAGTGCTTTAATTATAAAATTATTGTATTATACACAGAGTACTTCGATTTGGGAGATCCTTTGATTGAGTGTCGATATTGTAAAGCAATGACATGGTATCAAGAAAGGATGCACAAACACAAACATCCAAAAAAAATTTATATTGTGGAAATGGTAAAGTCGAACTTCCATTTTTAAAACATCCACCACAACCTTTATCACATCTTCTGTTTGATCATAATGCCATGGATAGTAAGAATTTCCAGTCACAAATAAGTATATACAACATGATGTTTGCTTTCACTTCACCGGGAGCTAAGTTGGACAACAGATTTAATAATGGTCGTGGCCCACCTACTATTAGAATCCAAGGACAAGCTTGCCACCGAATTGGTAGTTTATTACCACCAGAAGAACATCCACCTAAATTTGCCCAACTTTACATATATGACACTGAAAATGAAGTTACAAATAGAATGGACGGTCTCAGGTAACTAAACATCATGTTTATTTACCTATATCTTATTATCGTTATAATGCACACTAATTAGTTTTTTTGTCATTGTTGTAGAAACAAAAACAACATCCTGCCCGAGACTATACAAAAGTTGTCAGATATGTTGTACACACATAACACACATGCCAAAAGTTTCTTAATGGCTAGACAGTGGCTCAATCACAACAATGTTCATAATTTAAAACTCAAATTGATTTCAACTAGGTCTATTGATGGAAGATTGTACAATCAACCAACTGTTTCTGAAGTGGCAGCTTTAATTGTTGGTGACATTGACACTGCTGAGGAAAGAGACATTATAGTGCAAGCCAGAGGGGGGAAACTTCAACGCATTGATGAGTTTCATCCATCTTACTTGTCTTACCAGTATCCCTTGATTTTTCCTTATGGAGAGGATGGATATAGAGACGCCATTGCATACAGAGATCTTGACATTTTTGATGACAGTCAAAGGAACCAACTAACTATTCGAGAATGGCTAGCATTTAGAATCCAAAGTAGGTGCAATGAGGCAAAGACTTTGTTATCATCTAGAAGATTGTTCCAACAGTTTTTGGTGGATGGTTACACAATGCTTGAAGGAGGGAGATTGAAATGGATTAGGAAAAATCAGTCCAAACTAAGAGTATCAAAGTATACAAGTCTAAATGTAGAGCAAGAACAAACACATGGATCAAGAATAGGAAAAAGAGTCATATTACCATCATCTTATGTGGGGAGTAGACGATTTATGGATCAGTTGTACTATGATGGCATGGCAATTTGTAGTAAGGTGGGATTTCCAGATCTTTTCATTACATTCACATGCAACCCAAATTGGCCAGAAATTCAAAGATTGCTTGGTCCTCTAAATTTGAAGCCACATGATAGACCTGATATCATTGCTAGAATATTTAAAATGAAGTTTGATAACCTCCTAGCGGACGTGACAAAGAAAGGTGTTTTAGGAAAGGTTCTCGCATGTAAGTCTACCATTTCTTTTTTGCTAGCATTTTACTTTATCCAATGTTTACACATAAAGGGGTCTCCCACATGAACACATTCTTATTTACCCAATTCTCATATGTATTTATTTTTTTAACATTTGAAAATATTTTCAGATATGTACACAATTGAATTTCAGAAAAGGGGTCTCCCACATGCACACATTCTTATTTTCTTGCATCCATCAAATAAATATCCCACTCCTGAAGACATAGACAAAATCATTTTTGCTAAAGTTCCCGATCCATTGAAACATCCAAGACTGTATAATCTGGTGAAAACCCACATGGTACATGGACCTTGTGGTTTAGAAAATCCTAAATGCCCTTGCATGAAAGATGGTAAGTGTTCCAAGTACTATCCTAAGAAATTTCAAGATGTCACAATTGTTGATCAAGATGGATATCCAGTTTATAGAAGGAGAGATCAAGGTAATACATTTGAGAAAAACAGAGTCACACTGCACAGTGGTCATGTTGTACCCCATAATCCAAGTTTGCTGATGAAATATGAGGCACATATAAATATGGAGTGGTGCAATCAAAGTACGTCAATTAAATATCTTTTCAAATACATCAATAAGGGTTCTGATAGGATCTCAGCTGTTATCGTTCCAAATAACACTGGTCAAGATGGAAATACTGATGAAATCAAGCAATACCTTGATTGTAGATATGTATCACCAAGTGAAGCTTGCTGGAGAATCTTCTCTTATTCAATTCATGGTAGAAAACCAGCTGTTGAAAGATTATTTTTTCACATGGAAGGAGAGAATTATGTGTACTACAAAGATTTTGAGCAAATAGGTACTCTCCTACTTAAACCAAGTGTCACAGAATCAATGTTTACTTCTTGGTTTCTCGCAAATAGCCAATATGAAGAAGCAAGGTCTTTAACATATGGACAATTTGTGTCAAAATTTGTATATGACAAGAGGAAAAGGTGTTGGAAACCACGTAAAAGTGGTTAGACAATTGGCCGACTCATTTGGGTCCCACCAACGACCGGAGAATTGTATTATATGAGGATGTTGTTGACTGTGAAGAAAGGGCCAAGATCTTATGATGAATTAAAGACAATTGAGGGGTTCAAGCACAATTCTTTTAGAGAAGCATGTTTTGCATTGGGCTTCCTAGAAGATGACAAAGAGTTCATTGAGGCAATTAAAGAAGCTTATAACTGGGGTTTTGGAGTATTTTTGCGTAAACTTTTTGTTACAATGTTATTATCAGTTTCATTGAATCGACCAGAACATGTCTGGATTTACACTTGGATATACTTACCAGATGGAATTCTATATGAACAAAGACTATTGTCACAAAATCCAGGTTATATTAATACATATTTTTTATATCTATGTCACAATAAGTTATATTTTATCGCCTCCATTTTATTGCTTACAACACTTTTGTTGACAACACTTTTATTCACTTCTACAACACTTTTACAATACTTTTATTCAATATTATTTTTTCATTACTTAACGTTTATTTTTTTTGTAGATTTAACTTTGTCAGATGAAGATATTCAACAACTCACTTTGATGGAAATTGAGAAGCAGCTGCAGAAAAATAGAAGAAGTTTGAAAGAATTTAAGCCAATGCCATATCCAAATAATTATGTCCTTGACTTTCTTGGAAATAGATTGATATATGATGAAAGACAATATGATATCAAGGCTCAAGAAGAGATTTACCACAATCTATTTCAAAAATTAATGGGTATTGATTTTACTATTATTTCAATAATATTACTTTATGCTTTATTAAGCCTTCTATAATAGTTGTTCATCTTCATTCTCATCAAGTTAAACACATATGCGGTATCTATTCTATATTGTTCATGGAGTAGATTTTAGTAATTATATATTCATGATATTCATTATATGGTAATGGTTATGGTATACCTCCTAACAGGAATTGAACATTTAAACTTTGCTAATGTAACAACTTTGATGGTGTGTTCTTTTTGAATATAGATGAACAACATGAAATTTTTAGACAAGTTATGCAAGTTGTCACAAATCAAAATGGTGGAGTTTTTTTCTTATATGGTTATGGTGGGACTGGAAAGACTTTCATGTGGAACACACTTTCTGCTGCTTTGCATTGTCAAGGAGATATTGTGTTAAATGTAGCATCTAGCGGAATAGCAAGTTTGTTGTTACCAGGTGGGAGAATTGCACATTCAAAATTCAAAATTCCAGTTCCATGTCTGGAATCTTCCATCTGTAACATTGAGAAAAAACCAGATCTTGCTAATCTCTTGAAGGTAACAAAACTCATTATATGGGATGAAGCACCTATGGCTAATAAGTTTTGTTTTGAAGCTCTTGACAAGTCATTGAAGGATATAATGAGTGATGACAATGTTGAATGTCAACAAATTTTTGGAGGTAAAGTTGTAATTTTTGGTGGAGATTTCAGACAAATTTTACCTGTTGTACTAAGAGGTACTAGGTCTGATATTGTCCATGCAACAATAAATGCATCATATATTTGGGATCATTGTAAAGTTTTGAATCTAACCAAAACTTTCAAGTTAACGGTGTTTTCTAAATGCAACAATTTGACGGTGTTTTCTAAATTTTAAGTTGACGATGTTTTCCAACTCTCAAGTTAACGGTGTTTTCCAACTCTCAAGTTGAAATTGACGGTGTTTTCCAACTCTCAAGTTGACGATGTTTTCCAACTCTCAAATTGACGGTATTTTCCAACTCTCAAGTTGATTGTGTTTTCCAACTCTCAAGTTGATGGTGTTTCCCAAATCTCAAGTTGATAGCGTTTTCCAACCCCTGTGTTGATGGTATCTTTCAGCCTATAGCCGATGGCGGTCCTGGCAGTTTGATCAGTATCAACTCGCGAGTTAATGTTGATTCGGTATCCTACCTCAATATATCTTGTTTTTCTCAAATCTCACTACACTTTCCATCTTTTCAGACAAAATTTTGGATCTTTTTGTATTTAATTGACTTCTACCCTGAAGGTATGAAAATTGTGGACATTTATACCCTATGGGTAAAAGTAATTAAATAGGGGCAGTTGTCATACCCTAATTTTGTCCCATGTTTTTATCTACTTTAAGTCAAGTATTACCTCATTTGAAAATTTAAAAAAAAAATCTAAGTACATTACATACATCATATGCCATTGTCGCTACTGCGAAAATCGAGGCCGACAATGACAGAAGAGTCGCCACCGTGCGTTATTTATCCCAAGAGAGGGAAAGGAAACACTCAGAGAAAACCTAACGAAAAGAGGGATAAGATCGGTCATCGCAACCAAATCTCGGGTTCGGGAGTCGGTTACGCAAGGGGGAGGTATTAGCACCCCTCACGTCCGTCGTACTCGACGGGATCCACGCTTGTTGTCTAGTCTAAAAGGGTGATTGAAACTATCTAGCTAAAGGCTTGAGGGAAAAAGAAAAAGAAATGACTCGACAAAGCAATGGCGCTTTGTGCCTACGTATCTCATCTGAAGTGAGAAGTCAGAGTTAACGTAGTTCGGCTAACTACGGGTGAAAGGGGGGAAGATTGCTCGCCAAGACATCGCATCTTTTGCCTACGTACTTTCATCTAGAATGAAAGATCAGAGCAAACGGGTTTGTTCAACTGTTTTTTAGGTCCGAGTAGGGTTAACAAGTAGTTCTAGCAGTTGGTGTATGCAGCTCGAGCATGGGAGACTTAGGCGTTACCGTTTGCGGTAGAACTAAGAGTTAACAACACTCTTGTTTATGAAAATGTTTTCCTGATTAGAACCCCAAAGGGTGAAAAAGGTTTGAAATGTTTTTGTGTTTTTTAGAGAAGAAGTGTTTTGAATTGGAGTGTTTATAATACATGTTGTACCAAAGTCTAGAACCTAGGATCGAATGCGTCACATATCGCCCTAAGGACGTATACTAAACATTCTAAGCAATTGAGAGGAAACCCCTCAACAACCATTTCCCAAGTAGCTTAAGGCTCGTAACGTACAATACTCATTAACCTTATTAAGTGTTTTATGGTTGTTTTGAGATGAGAAGAGAAAGGACACAAGCTAAAGGGGGACTAAATCCAAGCCTAAATTTGTCATGCAATAGTGATCCTAAGATTGAGGTGAAAGGGAATGAAACTATCCTAATGTTATCATGCATAGGATTGAACACCTAATGTCTCTCCTACTCCCATCCTAAACGGAGGGACTAGGAATCCTAAGGGGATCATGGCACAAGACCAAGTAAACAACAGATAAATCAATCGCAGATGAAATGAGAAAGAAAATAAAATGATGAAATAAAATGGAATAGTGATCCTAAGATTGAGGTGAAAGGGAATGAAACTATCCTAATGTTATCATGCATAGGATTGAACACCTAATGTCTCTCCTACTCCCATCCTAAACGGAGGGACTAGGAATCCTAAGGGGATCATGGCACAAGACCAAGTAAACAACAGATAAATCAATCGCAGATGAAATGAGAAAGAAAATAAAATGATGAAATAAAATGGAAAATAAAATAAAAACATGGAGAATAAAATAACATATAAAAAATGATAAACAAAATAATTTTTTGGGTTTTTGGATATTTAAAACTATTTTTTAAAATAAATAAAACAAACAAAACAAGTAATAAAATAAAATAAAAAATAAAAGAAATGAAAACAAAATGCTAAAAAAACAAGGAAATGCATCCACTAAGGGTTGAACCCTTGACCTCAAAGCTGCAGGCCCAAAACCCAGCCAATCTAGCCAGCGCGCGCGTGTGAAGTTTGAAGGCAAGAGGAACATCAAGTGTAAAGCATGGAAAAATAAAAGGAAAAAAGGCAAAACGCCATAAGCTGGGCTCGAACTGGGGACATGATAGTGAAAGGCAGGGCAATTAACCACTAGGGTGGCGATACATCCAAGTATTATGCCACCCCATTAAATAGATAAGCCTAAAAATGTGTTATTCTGGGCAGGGCAAGGTGGGAAAAATACAAGGCAACAACATGAAAACGTGAACATCGTAACTCAATCAATACTCAACCAAATTCAGTAAAATTTAAGTCCATCTTGAGTGAAATTCAACAAGGAATGCAATGGCAATGTTAGTTTTCCAAAATGATGCATCAAAATTAAAACACGATAGAAACTGTCATGTAAAGCTTTGAAGTGCATTTTGAAAACCAAGGATCAAACCAGATGCCTTTAAACTCATGTAATGGACTGAGCAACTTTTAAATATGTCATTCATGGAATTTAGGTGCAAGGATCACACAGAAACAGCTCCAATCAACAACTGATATGCAAGTGGTAAGGTGAAGCTTAAAAATGCAATTTGAAAACCACAACTCAAAACAGAAATGGATATGGACAGGTGAGGATATGCACAACTTCAAAATACATAAAACAATGATTCTTGATGCAAAAGTCATACAAAAACAAGTCCAATCAAAAACTGATGTGTAAGTTGCACAAATTGCCTTGAAAATGCATTATGATGGCCATAGCTCAAAACAGAAGGGATCATGATTAAATGAAGGTGTGCACGTCTTCTAAATATGTTATTCAATGATTCTACATGCCTAGATCAGTTAAGAACATCTCCAAACCAAAACCGGTATGCAAGTTGCACAAATGGACCAAAATGCTTGATATGTGGTTATGGAAAATAAGATCAGTTCAGCATACATACACTATTCAATCACCACACATTAAAGGATTCTCAACTGTCAAAACATGAATTCAAAGTATCTTGCAAGATCAAAACAGATGGCACATGAATTGAAAGCATAAAATAGAAACTGGCAGCAATTTGTGCTTGTCAAAACAAGATTTTCATGATAAGTTCTACACACACACATACAATCCATACCAAAACAAATTGATCTCAACACAAACTATACAAGACATGATTAAAAGATTGAGCATGGATCAAACATTATGACTGCAAGTTGGTTATCAAAACAGCATGCATACACTCCAAGACAATTTGGCCTTAAACTAAACATGATGACTGGTACAACAATCAAAGAAACAGAAGTAGCATCAAACACCTCAAATAATTCATGCCTTGGAAGTTACCACACTATAGTAATGAATACAAACCAGTTCCAACAGAAAAAACTTATTTCTAGCATGCTAAACAACATGTTCTGGTTCACAACAGATCAAGACAAGCAAGATTGGCAAAGATTGAAAACAAAGCATGGCAGCATGGCATATGGTTCAAATAGGACAGTCATGACAGCAACAGGTGAGGCAATGCTAGCATAGTCAACAGATAACCCTAATGATATATGCACATGACAATTAGCAATTCAAATCACTTAGAGTTAAGGTAGTTTGGAATCACAACAGAAAACATGGTATCTTGATGCAAACCATCACAACAATGATCAAAGGATGCTTACAAGCACTTTTAGGACAGAATGCACATAATGCTCTCAAAATATTAAGACAATGCATATAGGTTCAGGCACAGTTTGACAAATGGAAGCAGGGTATGCATATGCTATCATTGAAACAGCCATATTGCATAAACCTAAGTGATGACAGCAAGTTGATGCAAAACAGAATAATGCCAACCATCAAGCAAAACATGATTCAAAGAGTATCAGAATCTTATGCTAGCAAACATAGGCCATTGGTTCTCATGAATTAAAAACAGGCCTCAGACTTACATGACTCATCCCAATGATCCTTGACAAATCCAAAAAGCCTAAACAGCTCACAAGCATACTCAAAACATGCCATAGATCAAACTTGAACACAAGAAGAAACCAGAAATAAGCTAGAATGGAAAATGACTTATGAGTTGCAAAATGCACATGAACAGAAATGTTGCAGGCCAAAACCACACATAGTTTTCAATGAAAGAAAACATCATATAAACACATATATGAGGGTTTCTAATCAACATTCCACCAAACAGATCAAAACCTACGAAAGTAGCTGCAGCAAATCATCCTTTTTCACAAACAGAAACAGGATCAAAACAGTCCCAAACCCTCATAATAGTTGCCAACACCCTTACATGTTCATACATGATATTTGATGAGACCTCAAGGTTTTATACACAACAACATAACATTGTAATGATGATCACAAGAATAGTACACATTTGTGAGCAAACAAACAAAATAGGACAGATTCAAACATGGAGGGTATTGTACTCAAAATACAATGTAACCACTAATGCACATCAAACACATTCATGATAGTTTAAAGGAGGATAGTGACTACCAACCTCTTGTAGACCTCAAAGCTAGTTTGTGCAGTATGGAAAACCTTGAAGCCTCCAAATAAAATCCAATACAATGCCTTGATGAAGATGACAACCTTTCTTGCACTTGAAGTAAACAACTGAACCCTTAGGACAGAACTTAAAACAAGTGATGATGATGTTTTTTTAATCCATGGACAGTTGGTACATCATAAACCAAGGGTGTTTGGAGGCTTACAAAGATCAAAACAGACCTGGTATGTGTTTTGGCAGATTTTGAGTATGAAGTCAAACTTTCCTTGGTTGAAAGTTGACTTTTGGGAAAATGAGGGTTATAGCTGGTTTAAGAGTTTGACCACCTCCCACACATCATTTGTGGATTGTGTGGATGGTTTGTGATGGTTTTG